CGCCTCAAAACTCCCAATAACTCCCGCAAATGCTCCTCGTGCTGCTCTCGAGTCTTGGAATACACCAACATATCATCTATGAACATGATGACCGAGTGATCCAACATCGGACTGCAGACCCAGTTCATCAGGTCAATGAATATTGTTGGTGCATTGGTGAGCCCAAATGGCATCACCACAAACTCATAATAACCATAACGATTCCGAAACACGGTCTTCTCCACGGCCTCCTCTCTGACCCGGACTTGATGATACATAGACCTCAAGTCTATCTTGGAAAACCATGATGCACCCTGCAATTGATCGAAAAGATCATTTATCCTCGAGAGTGGATAACGGCTTTTCACCGTTAACTTGTTCAATTCCCGGTAATCAATGCACATCCTATGCGAACCGTCCTTCTTCCTGACGAAGAGTATCAGCACTCCCCATGGAGAACTGCTCAACCGAATGAAATGCTTTCCTAGCAGCTGTGATGACAACTCCTGCATCTCTGGTGGCGCCAATCGGTACGACACCTTGGCGATAGGGGCCACACCTAGCACTAAGTCGATCCTGAACTCGACCTGCCTCTCCGGAGGCACTCCGGGTAACTCCTCTGGAAACACATCGGCAAACTCCTTGACCACCGGAACCTATGAAACTGAAGTCTGATCCCTGACCCGTGTATCCACCACATATGCTAAATATTCTGCACACCCGTGCTGAATGTACTGTCGAGACCTGGCAGCTGAACAAAACCCTGATCCCACTCTGGTACCCTCACCATAAACAATTAGTTCTCCCCCACTTGGGGTTCGAACTATAACTCGCTGGCCCTCACAATCTGTCATGGCACCGAAATGGCTAAGTTAATCCATCCCTACGATTACGCACACTTCCCCCATGGGAATCGTTATCAAATCAATCGGAAAGAGCACTTCGAAGATCTCCTCGATAGAGCGATGAAGCAAAAACTCCGTGTTCGTTGGTGATAGAGACTCGTAATGGACACTCTAGCTCGTCCATTGGTACACCAAACTTCCTACTGAAAGTCTGAGATATGAAAGACCAGCTCGCCCCTGAGTCAAATAAAACCAAAGCAGGCAAGGAATTGACTAAGAGCGTTCCTAACCACAGGTACAACTGATAAGCATAAGACATATGTAATAACATACCCACAACCACATCTGGTGCTGCCCTGGCCTCCTATGCGGTAAGCTGGAAGGCACGCCCCTGAGCCTTCGGAGGCTCTGCCCTAACTGGCCTCCCATCAGTAATCCTCATGTAGCCGGCGCTGGAGCCTGCGCCGGCTGGCTGCGAGCTGCGGATAGTTGTTCTTCACATGACCAACTTGATGACAATGATAGCATATCCTCATATCCGATGCAAGAGCGGACTGGCGGCAGTCCCTCGCATAGTGTGACAACCTAATATTTAGAGACAATGTAATCTAAAACCAGTCAAATTTAGGTCAAAATATAACTTTGGTAAAATCTTAGTTGGGTTAAATCAAGTGGTAGTAATCGTAACAAGGTTTTCATACATATAAATAACACAAAAATCCGAGTTATAACGAGGAAGTTATAACCATTCTAAAATTCCCGACAAAACTGGCAACACCGATTAAACGAAAAACGCAAAGTTTCAATACAATAGTTTTTAGCCTTACATATCTAAATGAAAGTTGTAGATAACATTAAACCGCGAGCGTACATAAAAAGAACGTCCAAATCTGACTTCGTATGAAGAAGTTATGATTTTCCAAGATCCGGATATAGCAGTAGACAGCTAAAAACTCGAAATAATGATCGATAGACTTTTGGCCAAAACAACCTAAATGAGAATCTAAGGTCTCAACAATAGTAGTACAACGATGAAAAGTCTGACGAAAACGGACATCGGATGAAGAAGTTATGGATTTTAATGGAATTTTCGTGTCCCGGCCCGTTAAAATAAATAATAAAAAATAAAGTCAAAATTAGATAATGAAGTCTAAACGAGAGTTGTAGAGCATATTTTCAGCTACGCATGCATATAAAGAACATAGAAAACGGAGCTCGTATGCATAAGTTACGGATTTTACAAGTTCGAGGCCCGAAATCCGAGGCTGTCAGGTTTGCCACGACGTGGCATAGTTTTTTCGCAACCCGGCAAGTGACTGAGGGCGTCCAATCAATGGAAGGGGATAAGACTTGCTTCCGACGACATGGCCACCCTTAGCTACAACGTGGCACACCAGAAATGCCCCTATAAATAGATTTCAAGGGCTCTGAGTTTCATTGCTCAGTTCCCTTCTTTCTCACGCCGAAACTCTGCGTTTAAGCCCCCGAGTCCCTACCAAATCCCCGGTTTTCACCTTCAAGTCCCGAAGGAAGGTTTCGCATTCCCGAGATTCCCAAGAATCCCGAGAAAATCAACTTTTCCGAGTCGAAGTTCTACTCGATTTTCATCTCGCTTTCTTCAATCAATTAGGTGAGTTCATACCCATATAACTACGTTTTCAAATGTTTTGTAAATGCCTTTATACACTTTTAGGGGGGGGGGGGAATACAAGTAAACACACGACTAAAATCGTGTGAAACATCGATCTTTTGCTATACTTTTGATACTGTTGTTTTAAATATCTTATGAAGTTATTATCATGCAAAATACCTCACAACACAACTTTACCCTCTTGGGATACAATATGTTTTATAAATAGAAATATGTTTTATTTATACGTTTGCATACTACATCATATCAAGGGTAACCGTTTCAACTATAACATGATGCTTTTACAAGAAAACTCAACTCATCATCACGTCTTTGTAACACGGTAGAAAAGGAAATCATTTCATACAAATGATTTTTCATCATATTACTCGTGAACTCGTTGTTAGCAATCTTGTGGTGTCATATGGCTTTGTTTGTACCAAACGAAAGTCCCCACCTATAACCAGAGTCTCTTGGAGGGAGAGCGTGACAAGTGTGTATAGATCTATACGGGGCTGACAACTCCGCACCCTGACTGTTAGCTACAGTCCGTCATTAGGGGTGACAAATGTCAACATAGGTACTGCGTCTAGTATGGTTATGAGGAACTCACAACACGCGGAAACAATGACTCAAGCACGTAGTAATACATAACCCAATCATGCTTGGGGGGTAATAACTATATTCTAGGGTATTATCAGCATAATCAAAAACTCAGGATAAACACTTCCACAATTAGTTTTACTTAACAATACAACTATACATCTTCTTTTTAGCATGTCATAATTGCTTACAGGTTACGGTCTTGGTAATTTGAGACTGCATTTCACGTTTAGGAAAATATAGGATTTTCCTAGTTCATATACATTCATTTTGTACAATAACGATTTACAACATCATTCTTTTGAGCATGTCATAGTTGCTTACAACTTACGGTCTTGGTAATTTGAGACTGCATTTCACTTTTAGGAAAATAAGGAATTTTCTTGGTTCAAATACATACAATTTATACAACAATCATTCATATTCATTTCATACACTCATAAGAAAATATCGGATTTTCTGGAAAACACACACGCACTTTCGAATGGCATACATTTCCTCAAAATACTACTTATGAACTCACTAACTTAAATGTTGACACTTTTTCTTTGAAATAACTTGTATTCTCAGGAAACCGCTAAACCAGGTAGCAACTACTTTTGAAGACTAACGCGCTGGCATTAGTAACATATTTTGGGTCACCATATTGTATTTTATTTCTTTTGCAAACATGTAACACATACAATCATGTAAACTTTTCAAATATATTTATATTATGGTGGTGTGTACTTTCTTTACTATTCAATTGTTATGATACTTGACATGACGTCCTCCGCCCTCGAACGTTTCCGCCGTTCTGGTTTGGGGGCGTGACACATAGTGCCCCTCCCTACCACACTTTTGGCACCCACTACTCACTCGACAGGCTCCCGAATGACCCTTGCTGCACTTTCCACAAGTGCGGCCCTGCTGGCTCTCAACCCTAGAATCAGCGGTCTTAGACCGCTTTGGCGCCGGATGCACCTGTGCTGGAGCCCAACCCTGCTCCCTCAGCTTCAACTCAATCTCAAGATCTCGCCGCCTGGCAGCCTCCTATAACTCCAAAAGTGTATCACAACGTTGAGTCGCCACAAACTGTCGAATATCTGTCTTGAGCATGCTCAGATAACGGGTCATCTGAGCTTTCTCAGAAGCAAACTCCGGGCAGAACATCGCCCTCTCAGTGAACATGCGAGTGATCTCCGTCACTGTCTCCTGATCTTATTTAAGCTCTAATAACTCCTGAGCTAACCGTTCCTGCTCGACTCGAGGAATGTAGCGAGCACGAAACATATCCTGGAACTGCTGCCATGACACAACAGCCCTTTGCTCATCTGAATACGACCCAGTCACCAACCTCCACCAGTCCTTTGCCCCGAACCTTAGCAAGTTCAGGGCACATCTGACCCTCTGGTCAGTAGGACATAAGCATGTGAAGAAACACCCCTCCACATCAGACAACCACATCATGGCTTTGATGGGGTCCTGAGCCCCATCAAAAGTAGGGGGATTCGTGTCATCGAAATCCCAATACTAAAAAGCCTGACCGGCTCCCAACCCTGCCGTGGATACAACTGCTGAAGCTGCGGCAGCAACCGCCTCGGTGAGGGATGCGTAACGATCATCGAAATACTCCACCATAACTTTATATTTAATTGTATTGTAATAATTACATCAACTTGGTTTACACCAGTTGAACCATCAAACTGATAGAATGACTATGACCACTTTAGTGGTAAGACCAATTTTCAAAACAATAGGAACTGATGAGTAAACCTTGGAACAACTATGATTGTAAACTTTTACTAGCTACCTTAAATAGCACAAGCAAAGTTATAAATGTAATTAAAACAGGTAAGAACAAATTATCTGTTCTTTTAAGAAAAAGATGTTATGTTTACATCGTACAACACCAAAGTCAAAAGTGATGATAATATATCATTTATCAATAGTAAATACTGCAGCTAAATATGAGGAAAACATGCCAAAGTACAATTATAACCCGGATTACTCTCTAGTTTCATCAGCCATGACTCAAGAACTTTAGAACGACACCGGTACCTCCTCCCTTTTAGTTTTTCCACTTGGTCCTGATGAATGAGCAACACAAAGATCACCGAGATCAATGCGGATGTCTAGCTCTTTAAAGACTCTATTTTTCAGATCATAACTGAATACACTTTTCTTGCGCCTTGATCTCATGAAAACGATATATCTCTTATTTATCACGCCACAAACTGGATATCGAAAAGAAGCACTTACAAAGCCATGATCCTGGACTGTTATCGAAAGCAACTTCTCCCACTTCATACTTTGAAAATCTTTAAGAATCCATAAGTCAGTTTTGTCCCTAGAAACTCCATCAATGAGGCTGAGAAAACCACCCATCTCAAAAATAGAATAGTAGAGCCTCTTACGCTCACCAGGTTCAGGTAGGCTCATTTGGAGAACTTCTTCTTTTATCATATCAACAGAAACCAGGTACTTAGAACAATTAAGATTCCAATGAAAGTACCTTCCTTGAACTTGAACTGAAACTATCTCACCCACATTCGTAGGATCCAAGTAAAAAGGTACTTTGATCTTTTTCCACCTTGAGGAAACACGAGAGACTACAATATCTTTTTCCAATTGGAGAATATGACATTGGAGTGATAGGCCATTAAACAAGTGAACAACCTTATGTACTCCCTTGAATCTGTCAAAAAAAAGGGCCATTGCACATACGCTAGTATCTTGATGTGCAAAAAATGTTGGAGGCTTGGGAAGAAATGATTTTTCCCTGGTGATTATATTGAAAATATACAGTGACTTTCTTTTTCTGGCGGGGTCTGATATCAGAAGAAACTCGTTATACCATGACTTTATCCTTCCAAAGAAATGTATGCCAAGGTTTTGCTGTTTCACTTCTAGTCCATGTCCTTCTTCCCTTACATCCACATAGCGGACAGTAAATCCAAATGACGTCTGGAGGATAAAGAAAGAATTTTCTGCCAAGATCATGTTAATTATATTGAACCATTTTCTACAGACATACTTTGCGTTATAACGAAGGAAAACATAAGGAAGCTTTTTAAGGATATCTTCAACCACGTCATCTGGAAGAAATGCAAACCATTGAACCTCATTTTTCTTTCTCTTCATTTGTTCATCTTCACACTCTTTCCTGCACTTGCTCATTGCCACCTCCATCGATTTCTGTATCAAAATAATATATTACATTTTTTGTAAGCAGCAACATGAGGAAGAAACACAGTTGTGTACATAGCCACAAGGGAACATGCATGAATGATCAATAACATACATCAACTGAACATGTTTGTACATGTTTTATTTCGGATCAACAGAAATAAGTACATATGGTGTTTAGGTAAACACAAGAAGTGTAATTAAATCCGATCAATTTTATTCCTGGGTTTTAAGTTTCCAATCAACTTTGAGAGTTGAAATTGTAAAAACTAACACCCTTTTCTGGTATCTTGGTATCTGGAGGCTTTTAAATTAATTTTAACATTAGTTATATAAGTAATTTGTTTCCACATTTACATTTGCGTCGAATAGAAAGAACATAAGAGACACAGTTGATATTAAGATGATAGTGCATAAAAAAGCCACATTAAACACATTGCAAGAAATGAAAAGAAACCTGTAGAACGCTAACTTCCATACTTGTAGAGATCGATGATAGTCGAAAGTTAGGGTTTTTTAGGACACAACCTGGAAGGAGTGTGATGTTAGGCGGTGGGTGTTTTTATTTTGGGATCTACTAAGTCCTAAATTGACGTCAATTTATATCCTAATGCTGTCTCCCCATTTTATGCTCAATTTATATTGAGAAATTAAATTACCTCCTACCTTTTATTTCTACAATTATTCCTATCCACTAAAATTATAACAAATCACCATTCAATTTAATTGTATTTGATATATTCCTAATATAGTCTTAATGATTTAGTTTAAAAAATATGGAAAGATGACACTTGTCATAATTTTATTGGGTAGGAACATTTGTAGGCATAAAAAGTAGGAATCAATTTAATTTCTCATTTATATTCTATAGTATATTCCGGCATTTTATTCATTAAATTTCAAACATTAAATTAATTTACTTAAGCAAAAAAGGAAAATTTTGGGTTATTCCTATAAGTTTTTTTTTTCTAAAAATTTAAGCTAAAATTAAATCATTTTAACATATAAATTTATTAGTTCACACATGAGCTTACTTAATTAAGCAAAAAATAAATAAATAAATAAATAAAATGAAAAGCCTAGTTTCAAGCTTGGAATTTCAATATTAGATTTACAAAATCCAACTTTCTGCCGTCAATCCCTTAACATGTAAAACCTCACATTATTGAGATCTATATTCTTAGATTTAACACCCAAACATATTTTCAAATCTAATAAAAAACTTAAATATTTTCCAACGATTTTCTCCTATTTATTCTTCTATATATATTAAATAGTGAAAATTATATAAAAATATTATTAAGAAAAATTAAATATAAAACATATCATCGTTTGATATGGATAGAAAGAAGGTGGAAAAAATTATAAAATGATATTTAATTTCTCTTTAGGTCTTTTTATTAAGAACTAGTGAACTATAGCATAGAACTTTTATGTGAATAACTGAATATAGACTCTTATCATTGTTAAATTTGGTGAAATTGAAGGTATGTATGAAAGATAAAATTAATATTACTTAGTATTTCCGACATCCTAACTTCTAAGTTGCATAATGTTATGAACATAGTTAACGACGATGTCAAACACTTGAAAATTGTTAGACTAACGTCTCAATGTTCTACGTCCGCATCAAGTATTTGTTTTATTTCTTTGAAAAGTGATTACCTCTCTAGGGTAGTTTTAGGTTTTTAATCATATACATTAATAACCATTTCAGACTAATTTATTATAATAATGGAATATTAAGTTTTCTAATCGTTTAATTATAATCCTCATTTATGTTTTTAACAAAGAAATAAATAAGATTTTCTTTTATTGGCTTTATCATTATCTTATCTTATGTTCCTCACCATCGTGAACATTACGAAAAAATAAATTTTTTTCCACATGTGATTTTCGTTACCATGTACTACTTTTAAAGTTCTTTTTTATGTCGGGATAGAAAGTTTATTTGATAGATTATCCCATATTAAATTTTGTGTAACCTATTTAATTATATATAACATTAAAACCCGTATTGACTTATGAGCAGTGTCGAGTTTTCAGTCGTGACTTTCTCAGTTTAGCTATCAGCTATGAACAGGACGGTTTGGAGTCGAGGACATGTCCTCCGCCGCCTTTTCCACCATGTCCTCTAGGCATTTGCTCATATGCGTTTTTATCCGCTCTCAAATGTCGATTGTGAATGAAATAGGTGCACAATTTATGCTATCTTCTTTTCCATCATTTTCCTTTGTTGGGTTTTAGGTTCTATCTATGCCCTTTTGCCATCTCCTTCTGAAGGAAACGACAAATGATTGGCAGACATCAATATTCTTCATATTGTTTCCATCTTTTGGATTTTGTCACTTGAAAATGTTGGGTTTTATTCAAAAATTAGTGTTCTTAAAACGTTAAATACTGCACCGGAAGCTTTAAAATTTGAATAAATTTAAAACCATTTTAACCCACCAATGACCTTTTTGCATTTATCGAAAGATTAAACCAAACACTTAATAAAAATAATATCAAACTTCGTAGACCTTGATTCCTCAAAGAGAGGCTTGAAAGTTCAATACGACGACAAAAGATACCCAAAGTACAAATCCTCAATATCTATCCACCAAAGCAAGTATTAGCCATCAAATATGCTAGTCTTCTCTTTATTAAGTACTTCGTAAGCCTTTTAGAACCAAACAACATTTAGTCCTAAAAGAGAATTTATAACATCTTGTTTTGAGGTACTTTTAGTTTTGACCCTTATATTGAGTTTTATTACATTTTGGTCCTTATTATGTAAGATTTATGGATGGGATGGGCTAATTTTGCCAATTTTGGAATGGTGGGGTAGAGTCACGTACGTTGGGCATACGTTTGCGTATGATGGGCGTATGTGGTGAAGTCACAAACCCTAATATTTAGGGTTTGGGCCATATTTATTCTTCATTAACTCTCAAACCCGGTTCCTTTCATCAGCCTCCATCCTCTAGAAACGTTTTTGTAAACCCTAATCTACCTTGTGAGAATTTTTGAGTTTGTGTGTTTGTGTTTTGTGCCTTTGAAGAAGAAATTAGGAAGTAGAGACCATCTTGGACGAGTAAAGCACCTTAGATTTAGAATCACATCATCATCTGACATCACTTGGACGTATAAAGTTCTTAACTTGATCACTCCATCTTATAGATCTACATATTTCTTCCTTTAAGACAGTTTTTATCCAAAAATGGTGATTCTTGAGCATGAAATGTTCTAGACCCAATAAGTCGTCCTTTCAGACCTTATGAAGGGTCTTGAATCATAAAAATGTGGTCTTGATGGTTAGTTTTTCTCCATGCATGTTATAGAAGGTCTTAAGGAATTAAGATGTTAAGATTTTTTGTATTTAACACTTAATGGGCATGCAAAGTCATAAAGTTGGAAAATGCTTGACTCTTCAGGGTATTTTGGCCTTGGATTTGATTTTGGATGTGAAGATGTGGAGTATTAAGCTCTTAATATGGAAAAGGGCTAAATAGAGCACGTACGCAAGGCGTACCAAGTACTATGCTCTGCATACGCGATCAGCGCCCTGTAACTTGGTCAATCACTGAGTACGCCCCGCGTATAGAACACTACGCTCAACGTACTCGGCTAAGTCAACTCGGTTGGGTTGGCTCGGCTAGGTTGACCCAATTAGGTGTTGACTTGACTTCTCATTGTTGACAAAGTTTGACTAAAGGTATTTTAGGAAAAATATTATTAATGGTTAATGTCTTGACATTTAGGTTTTGGATTGAGCCGATTTTTGGGAGTAGAGTATTGATCAGTTATTTTTCAGATTGTGAAGTGAGTCTTCTTCATGGTACTTATGTGTCGAAGGTACCAAGGCGGTCCTATTGGACCGAATATCATGTTATATGATAGTATGTTATTATGTTGTAGAGACCTGTTAGATCGATATCCTGGTATATAGGATGTTAGCATGTGGTAGTGATCTGTAGATGTACCTGTTTGTATATTGATTGGTTATATGTTTATCTGATACGTATATGTTGACATGTTATGTTTGGTTGGGTTGAGGCAATCCTGCTTTGTGTTGAAGGCCAATATACATAGGGCAGTCCAGATAGACTGTAAGCCCTGCGAAGCGGTCTAGTAAGGCCGAAGGCCCGGAGAGCAGTCCGGATAGGCTCTAGGCCCTGCGAGGCAGTCCAGTCATGTCAAAAACTCAGAGAGCAGTCCAGATAGGTGGTAGGCCCTGTGAGGTGCTCCAGTCAGGCTGAAGGCTCATTTATGCATGTTGTTGTTTGTTATGTTTATGTGGTGGTACTTTGGGGGAACTCACTGATTGTTGGATGATGGTTTTAGTTTTGTTTCAGGTACTTTAGAAGGCTGTGGCATGGCGAAGACATGACCGTACACATCCTCGATTTCTATTTTGATGGATCTTGAGAGACTCTGAATTAAACAATGCTTTGAAAACAATGATTTTTGTAAACACTTTTGAAGTAATGGGTTATTTTGAAAAGTTTAATTTTTTATGATTTTTGAGATGTTACAAGTTGGTATCAGAGCCTTGGTTTAAGAGAATCGGATAAACATTTGTGCGAGTCCAGACTGAAACTAAGGATCTATAAAGGGTTCAAAATGATTTTCGAAATTGTTTTCAAAACTAACCAAGGAAGGATGTGATGTGTACGATCAGTTGGAGCCAGTAAATATACCCCAAGTTACCATATAGTTAACTGTTATTATGTTATGTAGAAAAACATCCTAGTGATAGGTTAGGGATCTTTAATAATTGCATGATATAATTGCCTAATTATATGATGCATGACAGTGTAGGATTCTTTCCTATATGAAATTGACATCATTACTATAGTTACTTGGTGTATGCACTATAGTTGTACATAACTATGATCATATAGCATGAGAATGTTTGGTTTGATTTGATTTCCTGTTGTTGTTTGATGACGGGCTTAGGGTAGGATCAAGTATTCGAGTGTCTATAGGGTCTAGCGTTATGTATGATTAGTATATACGAGTGTTGTAGGGTTGGTGGAAGCTTCATGGATGAGTTATGTGTGGTCAACCGACCAGTCAAGGGATGTCTAACCTTTCTCTAGTTAGTGAGAATAGGGTGTACACGTATTCTAGTATGTACTGATAAGGTGTTGTCATGTTCTTCTGAGACAAATATGGGTAGGTGAAAAATGTAGTATGGGCCCGTACTACTGGAAGCAAAGGACTCGTACGCGTAATAGGGAAGTCAAAACCCTAGGGTTTTGTTGGGATATGGTTTATATAGTATGATATGTGTTTTATCTGGTATCTCTCTAGTTTATTTTCAATATGGTGGTTACGAGACGATTTGAGTCAAGATCCAGATCAGGAGCTGAAGCAGGTGGCCAGGATGGTCCAAGATTGACTAAGGACTAGGTTGGGGAGATCATTTATGAGGAGATTGCTTCTATTCTCCGGAGGAAGATACCGAAGTTATTTGGGTCTATCAAGACCGCTATAATTGAGTTCTTTGACGACCGATACGCTACACTTTCTAAGGTTGTTGTCACTGCGGCAGAGATTGGCACTGCAAGAGCTTTCTAGTATCGAGAATTTGACAATATGAAGCCTCGGTGTTTG